TCTATCAGTATTTGCTTCGCTATTATTTTGAAGCCCTGCTATTAGATGAGTAAATGTTTGAGATTGTTATGTCCTCATGACGACTTGACCTATCAGCATGAAATAATCAACTTTGTCCTAGTAATGAGTTTTCATTCGTAAGCATCTATTTTTGTCTGATATTAATGAAACCACTGGAGCTTTGATTTGTATTAGCATTAGTTGTCACTCTTTGTGGAACTGTGAGTCCATTAAACCTACGTTTTTCTTTGCACATTACCCAGTCTCGGGTATGTCTGTCAGTGCTCTTCGTTGTCTCAAGGCACTCTGTTTCTGACCAGGCCAGTTTCCCTTGGGTCCTTTTAAGGAGACCCTGAGGAATAGCTTTCTCCTTTGCTTGGTGGCTTGGTCTGTCTTGTCCATCTGCATGGCAGAGACGCAGCCAGTCTGGTGCTCCTGAGCTCTGTCTCACCATCCTATTCAAGCTGCTCTCATGGGGGTATGAGCCTCTTCCTGCAACAGCAGGTCAGAATACTTTGGGGCAACAAGTAGGTCAGCTTCCTGGTCCCTTTAGTTATACTCAGTACATTGCCAGCATTGATGGGAGGTGCAGGTTGTTCACACACTTAACTCCAAAACTGCTTGGGAATCCACGGTCAAATTTTGCAGTAGTTAGGACCTGGAAATGTACAGAAAGTTGTCTCATCTTCCTTTGACCAACATATCATGGAGATAAAGTCGAGATAATCCTGGTTCTGCTGCTACCCCCATGCATCCCTTCACATGATTATAGGATTTTATGGTATGAATTCATTGACACAGAGTCATTTGTGAACTCTGTGACTCCATAGCAAACATCTACTGGGGAAGAGAAGGCATCCTAGGATTTCTCATCTGTCTTGTTCCTCACCTCCTCCTAGGCAACATCATTTCTTTATGGCTCTGTAACTCGCTGGCCTACCTCATCAATACCTATGCACTCTGGTGGGGCATGGTGGCTTATGCCTGTAATCCTGATACTTTGGGGAGGATGAGGTAAGAGGATCGCTTGAGCTCAGGAGTTTGAGACCAGCCTGGACAACAAAGTGAGACCTCATCTCTATGAAAAATTAAAAAACTTAGCCAGGCATGATGGCATGCACCTGTAGTCCCAGCTACTACGGAGGCTGAGGTGGGACAATTGCTTGAGCCCAGGAGGTCAAGGCTGCAGTGAGCCATAGTTGTGCCACTGCACTGCAGCCTGGGCAACAGAGAGAGTCTCTCTCTTTCTCACACACTCACACACATGCCATGGCCTTACTTTGACCACACCTTGCTGGACAGTGAGGTTTCTATCAGGAATGAAATGAACAGTGAAGAGTTATTCTCAAGCTGTCACAAAACTATGCCAGTATATTCCAGCCTATCCCTTTGTGCTTGTCTCTAATCTTATGGCTGTCAACAGCCATGGGCTTGCTGGTGGACCCCTTTCTTCCTTCCCAGTATACTACTTGCATAAATTGCAGTTACATGCTACAAAAACAGGGAAATATAAGCCGAGGAAATAGCCCCATTTTCTCAAAAGGATCCCTTTGGAAGACTTGTTTTGACCTGAGAATGTGAATTTGAAGATGTAGGGTGAGAGAGTGACATTTCTATAGTCCCAGATGCACCAAATTATGGGAGACAATGTTGATTTCTATATAGTGTTCCACACTTTTATTTTATTTTATTTTTTAGACAGACTCTCGCTCTGTCACCCACACTGGAGTGCAGTGGCGCGATCTTGGCTCACTGCAATCCCACACTCCTGGGTTCAAGTAGTCTTCTCACCTCAGCCTGAGTAGCTGGGATTACAGGCAGGCACCACCACAGCTGGCTAATTTTTTTGTATTTTAGTAGAGACAGCGTTTCACCATTTTTAGCCAGTCTGGTCTCGAACTCCCGACCTCAAGTGATCTGCCCACCTTGGCCTCCCAAAGTGTTGGGATTACAGGCCTGAGCCCACTGTACCTGATGACCTTTTTAAATGGTCATTTTAGTCTTGAGAATGAATAAATAAGTAAATAAGTGTCAGAGGACGGCTGCCGGCCCTGCAGGGCAGGCAGAGTTGATGCATGATTGCTCTGCTGGTTGCTCTGTCTCTGTGAAGAAGTCAGAAGCTCCAAGAGAAAACTTCTGCCTTCAGCAAAGGAGGCGCCATCTACGTCCACTCTGCCTCCCTTAGACACTGATTCAGGGTTGTGAGAGTAACACTCAGTAGGTGCTCAAGTAGTCTCTGGCTGTTCAATACATGGCCAACTATTGTTGCTCCCATTTTACAGGTAAGGAAGCTGGCGTTGGAAGTGAAGTGAGGTAACTTCTCCCCACTACGCCACACAGAGGGAGAGAAGAGCCGACACTGCCCTCTCTCCCAGGGCCTGGGCTCATAAGCTTACATTGGTCGGTGTCCTCTGAAGGATAACAGCCCTTCAAAGGATGCTGCACAGTCCTCCCTTCAGCCCCTCTCTTCCAGGCTAGACATGCATCCCATCCATCAGGCTCCAAGGTGAAGAGGCGGAGAGTGAGGCCATGAGGCAGTACTGCACCAAGTGAGGGGCATGAGGAAGAGATGATGACATAGGCTGTCACTTTTACCACTACACGAATATTGGAGCAGCTGCTTTGTTTCTTCAAAAGAACCTGAAATAGCGAGGGGGTTGGAGGAGGATGTTGGAAACATCCACAGAGTGACTGCCTGGTGCTAACATACCCTGGACACATGGATGTGGCCGTTGTCCCATTCAATTATTCTTTTCTAAAGAAATAGAACTTAAAAGTAACAAAGCATAATATCCCCAACTTCTGCCCTGCTGGTTTACAAAAGTAACAAAATGTGACCAAGAGTGAAAGTAGCTTGGCCAGGCACGGTGGCTCACGCCTTTAATCCTGCGGACTTTGAGAGGTCAAGGTGGGTGGATCACTTGAGGTCAGGAGTTCAAGACTAGCCCAGCCAATATGGTGAAACCCCATCTCTACTAAAAATATAAAAATTAACCAGGTGTGGTGGCAGGCACCTGTAATCCCAGCCTTTGGGAAGCTGAGCGTGAGGTGCTTGAACCCAGAGGCAGAGATTGCCGTAGGCTTGAGATTCGCCAGTGCACTCTAGCCTGGGCAACAGAGCAAGACTCCATCTCCAAAAAAAAAAAAAAAAAAAAAGTGTGAAGGCGGCCGTATCTATTACAGTCGTGTTGCTATCCACTAAGCCCACTAAGCTTTGTCTGCAGTCACTGTGACATCTACCAGCAGTTCTCTCCCCACTCTCTCTGTTATGCCCCCTACTTCTCTCCCCTCCACCCACCAGCTAGGGCAGAGAAATGCTCAGAACCTTCCCAGGGACTCACACATGACAGTGAGTACTAGGCTTAGTGTTGGCTTCAGGACAGCTTAATATTAACACCCCTCCAGGCAACTGTTTGCAGCCTTTGATTTTCCTCTGGAACATGGTTTGGGGTGGGGAGAACACCTTGCTCTAGGAAGGTGTTGATTAGAATGTGAGTGCTCCCCCCACCTTCCTAGGAATTTTCTGACAGATGAGCCACTTTTATTGAGGGGACTGAGGCTTCAGGTGGGCTGGGTGAAAAGAGAGTCAGAGTTTGATTAGCCTGACCAACATGGTGAAACCCGTCTCTACTAAAAATGCAAAATTATCACAGGTATGGTGGCGTGCGCTTGTAGTCCCAGCTACTCAGGAGGCTGAGGTAAGGAATCGCTTGAACCAGGAGGTGGAGGTTGCAGTGAGCCGAGATCATGCCACTGTACTCCAGCCTGGGCAACAGAGGGAGACCTTGTCTCAAGCAAACAAAACAAAAAAAAAAAAAAGAAAGAAAGAAAAGAGGTGGCAGACACACTCCATGAGAGAAATTCCCACCCACATGCTGTTTTGTTTTGTTTTGTTTGTTTTGGAGAGACAGGGTGTTACTCTGTCTACCCAGGTGGAGTACAGATGGTGTGTTCTGGCTAGCTGCAGCCTCAACTTCCTGGGATCAAGTGATCCTCCTGCCTCAGCCTCCCAAATGCTCAGGACTACAGGTGCGTGCCACCATGAACTAACAAAAAAAAAAAAAAAAAAGGCCAGGCACAGTGGCTCATGCCTGTAATCCCAGTACTTTGGGAGGCCAAGGCAGGCATATCACTTGAGGTCAGGAGTTTGAAACCAGCCTGGCCAAAATGGTGAAACCCCATCTCTACTAAAAATATAAAAATGAGCCAGGCTCATTAACGCCAATGCCCTGTAATCCCAGCTACTCAGGAGGCTGAGGCAGGAAAATCACTTGAGCCTGGGAGGCAGAGGTTGCAGTGAGCCGAGATCACGCCACACTCTGGCTAGGCAACAGAGTGAGACTCTGTCTCAAAAAATAAACAAAATAATAACAAAAAATTGTAGAGGTAGGATCTCCTTTTGCTACCCAGGCTGGTCTTGAGCTCCTGGGTTCAAGTGATCCTTGTGTGTCAGTCTCCCAAAGTGCTGGAACTACAGGCACAAGCCACCATGCCTGGCTGTCCACCTGCTTCTTATGTATAACCTCACGTGTACCTGCCTAGTTCCCTTGTTTCCTGGCATGGGTAAAATAAACTAGGAGGAATCCTTTTTAAAAACCTTCCGCTTTCTGGGAGGTGCTAGACCCTTCTACCATCAAATCTTGCTGGTTTGTTTTCGTGGCTCTAGCACTGCCCCGCTGACGCGGAAAGGCCTACCACATCAGGTCTGGCCCAGGCCCAGAGGCCTCGTGGTCTCTCACGAGGGGCCAGCACGAGATGTCCTCACAGGGAGGCTGAATGGGCAGGGAGTTCTGCTTCCCCTCCCGGGGCCTCAGTTTCCCTGTTGGGATGAGGAGGTGAGGCGTGGACTCTCAGAGCCACCTGGGACTATTCTGCTTCTCTCTAAGCCCTGGGTCCAGGTCCCTTCTCTGCCCTGGAGTAGCCGTCTCCCAACTCCTCATGGAGCAAGATGGGCGTGGTGGCCGTGGGGTGCACTCAGTTGATGTCCTCATCCCCAACAGGACTTGATCTTTGGCCTGGGTGACCCTGTGAGGTGGGAATTACATGCTCCTGGGGACTGATAAGTCTCAGCTGTCCCTGACTGAAGAAGATGACAGTGGGATAAACGATGAGGATGATGTGGAAAATCTGGTGAGTCTCAGCAGCTCAGAACCAAGGGAATGTGTGTAGAGGAGCTTCAGGGAGCCTGACAAGTGTCCCCAGCGTGTGTGTGTGGCAGTGGGGGATGGCCCACGTAGACCAATGATCCGTTCCTCAAAGCAGGAGAACTGGGCAATTCCCTTATTTTACAGATGGGCACATTGAGGCCCAGAAAGGCCAGTAACCTATCCAGGACCTCCCAGTGGGTTAGAGAGGACAGGACTTGAAGTCAGTCTTCTGCCCCCATATCATCCCACCTTGTTCAGGGAGTTGCCCTGCTCCTTTTGGAAGAAAATCCACCCACCACCAGCCTGGGCAACATAATGGGACCTGTCTCTACAAGAAAATGCATAAAAATTAGCTGGGTGTGGTGGCATGCACCTATAGTCCCAGCTACTTGGAAGGCTGAAGGCAGGAGGATCACTTGAGACTGAGGAGGTGAGGCTGCAGTGAACTGTGTTCCTGCCTGCATTCCAGCACCTGGGCCCCTTCTACAAAAAAATAAAAATAAAAATCATTGAAAAAGACAGTTGCAGAGTGGGGTCACTTAAGACCCTGGAGTCGGAGCTGGCTGTTCTCAGTTCCATCCCAAGTAGCCATCATGAGCCCACACGCTGCTGAGCCTTTCTTGTCTGTTCTGTCAGTTCCTCTGAAAGTCATTGGCCAGGTACTTCCCACACACATCCACCAGCCTCCTTCTCGGAATTCAGTTTCCGCCTTTGTATCAGAAATAGAGGCAGAAGGGTCATAGTTGTATTCATAGTCATTCTAATAGGTGCATTCGTCTGGCATCACAAAGCACCACAGATGGGGATGCTTAAATGACAGAAATTAATTTTCTTACAGTTCTGGAGGCTGGAAGTCTGAGATCAAGATGTGGACAGGGTTGGTTCCTTCTGAGCCCCCTGTCCTTGGCTTGTAGACGGCTGTCTTCTCCCTGTCTTCACACTGTCTTCCCTCTGTACAAATCTATGTCCCAATCTGTTCCTTATAAGGACATCGATCATATATATATATATTTTTTTAAATTTTTTGAGGCAGAGTCTCCTCTGTTGCTCAGGCTAGAGTGCAGTAGCACGATCATAGCTCACTGCAGCCTCGAACTCCTGAGCCCAAATGATCCTTCCACGTTAGCCTCTTGAGTGCCTGGGACTACAGGCCACACCACCACACCTGGCTAATTTTTGTTTTTCAGAGAGACGTGGTCTTGCTATGTTACCCAGGCTGGTCTCGAACTCCTGAGCAAGAGATCCCTTTGCCTTGGCCTCCCAAAGTGTTGGTATTACAGGCATGAGCCACCATGCCCAACCAACACAGTCCTATTGGATTAGGGCCCACTCTAATTGAACTCATTTTGACCTTAATCACCTCTCTAAAGAGACCCTGTCTCTACTAATCCCATTCAAACAGTAAGTGATCAAGACAACAACAACAACAAAGATAACATAAGAAAAATAAATAAAACAAATATGATAACTTTCAGGGCTTAAAACTTTAGCCTATGAATTTTAGGGACGCCATTCAGCCAGTAAAATTGCCCTCATATAGTCCTTACTAGCATTGGGATCCGTTGCTCTATTTAACCTGAAGTAACTCGTTAAAATCCCCACAGCCACCTGGTAGAGTGGGCACTGGTATTACCACCTGTGATTAATATGATCCCATTTTACCGATGGGAAGACTCACACACAGAGAGGTTAAGTCACTTACCCAAAGCAACACAGCTGGTAAGTGACAGAGCTGGGATTTGAACCTACACAGTCTGGCTCCACAGTCTGGGTTCTCAGTGGTAACTCTGTTCTACCTCCTGGGGCTGCTTGATGTGATGTGCTTGGCACAGCAGTGTAGACCGCCTGAAAAGGGTGCTACAGATATTTCTCCAGCGTCCTCATCTCAGAGACTGGGGACATCTTGTGTGCGTCTAGGCATAGGTGCCCCCTGCTGGCCGTAGGGCATGGACCCAGCCAGGGCCTGAGAGCCCAGCCCTGCAGGCTGGCTGGCTTAGTGCCAGCATGGCTAATAAACAGTTCCAGTCTCCTGGTCACCCCTGGCCCAGAGCCCTCGTTACAGCAAAGATGGACAGAGGGCAACCCAAAGAGTCAGAGCCCAGTCATGGACCCCCAGGAAAAAACAGACCCCTGGTGACCCACCCACCTGGCTGCTCTTGGGGTTTGACAATACTAACTGCTGACTGCTCACCATTTTGTCCCCTGCAAAATGTCACAATTAGATAAGCAGGTGTCAGACATATGAGCAATGTTTGTGGAAAAAAGGTTTTAAGTTAGAAAAGTCTTATCCAAGTTTCTGTGATTATCTAGTTTGAGGACCATTTATCTAGATCAGGCCTTATTTCACAAATGGGAAATTAAGGCTCAGAAGAGAAACAATAATAGGCCGGGCACGGTGGCTCATGCATGTAATCCCAGCACTATGGGAGGCCAAGATGGGCATATCATTTGAGGTCAGGAGTTCGAGACCAGCCTGGGCAACATGGTGAGACCCCCATCTCTACTAAAAATACAAAATCAGCTGGGTGTGGTAGGCGCATGCCTGTGAATCCCAGCTCCTCGAAGGCTGAGGCAGGAGAATCACTTGAATCTCTGGGAGATGGAGGTTGCAGTGAGCCAAGGTGTACTGCACTCCAGCCTGGGCAACAGAACAAGACTCCATCTCTAATAATAATAATAACAATAATAATAATAATGTCAGCCAGACAGAGTCCCAAGGCCTTTACAGACATTATATCATTTGAAATCCTCTAAAAAGATCCAGTTTTACAGTTAAGAAAACTAAGGCTTAGAGCAGTTAACAGACTTGCCCAGGACCCCTTAGCTGGTCTTGGAGAGAGAGGGCAGGGCTTGGGTGCCCTGACTCCAGAAACACCTCTCTAATCACGAAGGGCCTGCAGCCAGGGCCAGGGGGTGCTGCTGTGCTAAGCCAGGCAGGTATAGGCTCCCTGCCCAGAGTGAGCTCCTCCTCTTCCACATCATGGTCGTGCTCGCGGCCTCCAGTTCCTGGGGAAGCCAACGGACCACCTTGGCTTGGCTCTGCAGGCAGAGACAGAGCTTGAGACCATAACTTCTGCTTCAGGCCCTGACCAACACCACCTCCCCCACCCGTTTCTCCATCAGGGCAAGGAGGATGAGGATAAGGCTTGACATGCCCCACTCGTGGGTGGAACAGATTGAGATCTCCCGGAAGGTATTTTCTATTTGTGTTTTACTTACCCTCTCAGATCCAGTTCCTGGGCCTCCAGAGAGGTCTGCGGCAAGCAGTGAGGCAGGGGACACAGCAGGGAATGCCGTACTCCACATTCCACCCTTCCCACCTTCAGCCACCCTCTCTCCCTCCCTCCTCCCCTTCCTGCCACAAGCACTCAGCTCTGACCCGGGAGCCCTGACACAGTCAGGCACACAGGGCGATGCAGCTTAGTGAGCATGTGTGGGATGATGGCGTGTGGGCAGCAGCAAGGACCTGAGAACCCAGCCCGTTCCCTCTCACGCCTCTTCTACCCAGGAGGCTACGAGGCAGTGCCCAGATGGTGCGGGGGTCTCAGGACCGGAGAGGGGCAGGTAGAAGGCAGGAGGCAGGGACTGTCATGCTCCATGTCAATATCTGCTGGTGCCCACCTAGGAGCACCCAGGCCTATATGGGGAGGGGCATGGGCCATTTCATCAGGAGTGGGAAGTGCAGAGATTATCACGGGAGACCCAGAGGGCGCACCCAGCCCAGCACTGGGGCTAAGGCCTGGGGATGGGTGAGCAGAAAGGGGTACCAGAAGTAGGCTAGAGGTCACCTGGGCAAAGTTTTGAAGGATCTGAAGGAGTCAGTCCAACAAGAGGAGGAGGGGATGATGGTGTTTCTGGCAGAGACCTGTCTAAACAAGAGGCTAGCAGTGGAATGATGTGGTTGGCTGCGGGGCACACCCTCTGATGGGGCTCAAATCCCATTCTTGGGTGGATTTGTGCTTCTGTCTGTCTGAGAACCCCTCTGAGGCTAGAGCCACCCCTGGTGATTATTCTCCCTCAGCCTCCCTGGATGGAGCTTGGGGCGGAGGAGTTCAGTATACAGAGAGCGGGCAGTGGATGGATGAGTGGCTGGAGGCAGGGCTGGCCTCCCTTCCCCCAAACTAGGAAGGATAGACCCCAGCTGACTGTGTCCACAGCATTTGAGACCCGCTGCCGAATGGGAAGAAGGTGATTCAGTACAAGAGGCAAAGCTGGAGAAGTGGGCCCCGTGCCTCAGGCATGGCGCTTGTGATCCGCCTCACCACCTCGAGGACCTGGGTGTAAGGGGGATTGCTCTGGCCATGGCTCCAGGCCCGGCCCAGGGCAGGGGGTGGCTCTTTCTCTCTCTGGGGCATTGCTGGCCTCTGTGTGCCCTGGAGTAAGTGGCGGTTGAAGACTAGGGGAGCTGGCCTGGCTGCAGCAAACATCCATCGGCCCCACAATTCAATATTTTGGAGATAAAGGAGTGGTACCAGAACCGGAAGGACATGCTGGAGCTGAAACACATGACAAGACCACAGACCTGAAGATGAATACTTCAAACCTGGCCACCCCCAGGCTCTACTGCACGCGGTCACATTGGCTCCCCTTTTCCTGGGCAGCCAGGAGCCTGGGGTAGAGGCCTCACACACACCCACCTTGGCAGGTGGTATGTGGTGGGAGGAACCAGCATACATATTACACAGGGGTTCTTGGGCAGCCAGCAGTAGAAGCTGCCCTGCCTCCCTCAGCAAACCCGATGTGTGGGAGGTCAGGAGAGCTCAGAAAATCTAAGGGGAAATCGACAAATGCTCCTCAGGAAGGCTGAAGGGGGGCACCCACATGCCCGCTCCAGTGGTTTGGAATCAGGCCAAGAACCTCACCATGAGGTCACCACGTGGAGACCACATTTAAAGGAGGCAGTGCCGGGCACAGGGTCTCACACCCGTAATCCCAGTACTTTGGGAGGCCAAGCGTAGTTAGGCCCAGTGGTTCAAGACCAGCCTGAGATATGGTGAAACCCATCTCTACAAAAATACAAAAATTAACCAGGGTGGTGGCACATGCTTGTAATCCCAACTACTCAGGGGCCCCAGAGGCAGGAGAATCACTTGAACCCAGGAGGTCGAGGCTGCAGTGAGCCGAGATTATGCCACTTCCTCCAGCCTGGGTGACAGAGAGAGAGAGTCTATCTCAAGGAAAAAAAAATCCTGACCAAGAAATTTACAAAAGAAAAGTATGGGGTAATATACATTTTTAAAATGATCAACCTCATTTGGAGAGTTGATATTGAAAAAAAAAGAAACTAATAAGGTCCCTAACCAATAAAGGACCCATCTTATAACCCCCATGTTGGCAAAGATGAAAAAAATGGTACTACTGGGTGTGAACAGTGTGGCAGCAATAGTCACTCTGTGTCACTGTTGTGGGACAACCAAATTGGAACTTTTATGAGACAGTTGGACACAAAATGTTGATAATGACCACAAAGCATATGCGCTTTTGGCTGGGCTGATGGCTTACACCAACAATCCCAGCACTTTGGGTGGATCACCTGAGGTCAGGAGTTTGAGACCAGCCTGGCCAACATGGTGAAACCCTGCTGCTACTAAGAAATACAAAAATTAGCCAGGTGTGGTGGCAGGTGCCTGTAATCCCAGTTGCACGGGAGAGCTGAGACAGGAGAATCACTTGAACCCAGGTGGCAGAGATTGCAGTGAGCTGAGATTGTGTCACTGCACTCCAGCCTGGGTGACAGAGCAAGGCTCCATCTCAAAAATTTTACTTTTGGACCCCAGCAACTCCATTGCTGATAATTTATTCTTAGCAAATAATGGACAAGAATGAAAAATGCGCAATGCAGATGTTCATCATGGTGTTGGTAATAATCAGAAAAGTTGTACACAACCTAAACACCTTATTAGGAACTGGTTCCATAGCTAACCTCATCAACATTAGGGCTGTCTTCTTCCCTGGGCCTGGGGTTGGGCGATCAAGCCCGGCAGCCATACTTCCCAGTGCTCATGTAGCTGTCTCCTCCCACCTCCTGCTCCCCACCCAGTGCCTCCTACAAGTCCATACAACCTGAGATGGACCGTGTCATTGAAGTTTATGGGGAAATGACCCGTGTGGATGGCTGATAAAGCGGAGAGACAGCCAGGACAATGACAGAGTACTATCAAGGGCAGCCCAGACTTCCTTTCCTACCCGCCATGCCAACTTCCGACCCGAGTCAAACCGCTCTGAGCAGTGCAGAGTCAAACCCCCGGCCCATTGTGGTAAGAGCTCGCCGGGGCTGGGAACAGGTCGCCCTCCTTCTCTGGCAGTTGATGTCACCTCTGAATGGTGAGAGCCCTGGCTCTGGGGTGGCATTAAGGCCTGGGACATATCCAAGGAGCACCAATGATGAGCAAGCATTTTACCAATGTATTGAGTCTGTTCTCATTATACTTTACAAATATTTGAAATTTAGTTAATTACCAAAACTTCATTGTCTCCAGTTTAAATGGCACAGATCTCAAATTTCAACATCATGCAGAAGATCTTTCACTGAATAAACAGGTTGAAGATAGTGGTAAGAACCACCGCAAACCATCAGATCTCAGGTAACTCTCATGGGAATGGCATGGGGAAACCACATGCTGATTCAGGTATCTCCACCTGGTCCCGCCCTTGACCTATGGGGATTATTGCAATTTTCAAGGTGAGATTTGGGTGGGAGAACACGAAGCCGTCGTATCACCAAATGTACCATCCTGGGGTTGTCTGGTGCCAGACTGTGCCCTCAACCATGCAGGGCCAAGGATGTGTTATTTCCTTATTGTTGTCTGTCCCCACACTCATGACTAAACATTTGGAAAACATGTAAGAATGTAGAGAAAAGCAAAAATATCTCAGAATGGCATCTCTCATATATTACCATGGATTATAAATTTAGTTTTGAAGTTTTTCTAATGTAATTGAGATAGGGACCTGGGAATTATAGTCCCTGTATTACCCACTTAACATGAAATTGTGCACACCCCTCCATGTTGTTACAATTTAGTTGGCAACTGTGTGTAATGGCAGCATGCAAAGAAGCTCTTTCTAGCAGTAAGGGATGTCTAGGGGTCTAGCAATGGAGTAGGCTGCCTGCAGAGGTAGTGAGCTTCCCATCTCTTGAGGTAGGCAAGCAGAGTCTTGAAAGAGGCTAAGGAGGGCCCCACCACCATACGGGACTGGAGTGGCACCTCCATGAGAACCTGAAATCCATTGTCTGCTTAAGAGGGGCTATTCCACGTGAATCTCCAAACAACCCCAGACTCCAGGGCCCTGAAGGTCCGTTGCTCCTGCCTTCGGGCATGCAGAGAAATCTCTCACACCCTCATCCTTTGCTTGTTCTCGCCTCCCCCAGAAAATCACAGAGCAGTTCTTCCGCCCAACCCAGCGAAGCCCGCGGAGGAAGGGAGCGTGGCAGAAGCGTCATTCCTGCTGGCGGAGGGCGCATCCAGCTGCGCTACCACTGCCGCGGCGACCACATCACAGCCTCCAGCGCGCGAGTTCCTGCGGCGCACAAGGTGGGCAACAAAACAACAAGATCATCATGACGCCCGACATGCATCAGCTTGGTGGGCATGGGGACCACGGCGGGCAGGGGGTCGGGTGTAGGAGGGCCGGAGCTCTTTGTCTTATTCCAGCAGCGTGGGGAGAACCTGGACGAGGCACTGGTGAATCCTGGCCCCGAAATTCATCTTGCCTTAGGAAGAGCAGTTTCCACCTGGGGACCCTTCTCTTTGCAGTTCCTCTGAAAATCTTTGCCCTTCTATACCAAAAGAGAATTCTTAGGCTAAGACGACTCCTCATGTTCCCCACTCCTGGTCAGAACTGAGCCTCAGATCTAGGAGGCTCTGGGGAGGAAGATTCTCACCACCTCTGAGGGCTAGCCTTCCTAGTCAAACCCTCACTCTCCTGGCCTGATCCCCAGCTTTTCTGAGTCTTTGGTTTCTCTTTTATTATTATCTGTGTTTTTATAAGTGAGAAAATTAAGGCTCAGAGAGAAACAACAACTTGCTCGAGGTCACACAGCTAGAAAGTGGCAGGGGTAGATTTGAACCCAGGTGGTCCTGTGCCGATCATGGCAGCCTCTCTGTGTTACCGAGGTGGTTGTTGTCCCAGGTGGAGCCCATGGAGCACACCAGAAGCTGCTCTACCAGTACGGAGCCATGATGCACCTGAAGAGGGAGGAGAAGCTGTCCAGACATCAGGTCTGGGAGTCAGAGCTGGAGGTAGGGTCCTATGGGAGGTAGGCAGGTGTGAGTATCTTCATTTCCAGAGATGGGGTCTAGCTCTGTAACCCAGGCTGGAATGCAGTGGTGCAATGATGGCTTACATCCCAGGTTCAGGTGATCCCTCCCACCTCATCCCTCCCAGGTAACTGGGACTACTAACGCCTCCACTGCCTGGCTAATTTCTTGTTTTTGTTTTGTTTTTAACAGACAGGGTTTTCCATTTTTGCCCAGGCTGGTCTCCTTACACCTGAACTCATGCGATCTGCCCTCCTTGACTCTGCTGGGGTTACAGGAGTCGGGGTGTCTTCATCACGCCCTCCCAGCACTTCTCATTTTCAGGTGCTGGAGAGATCTGAAGCTTGAGAGGAAGAGGAGGCGGCGCACCACGCTGACCATCTCTCCATCTATGACACCAAAAGCGAATGAGAAGAGCAAGGAATATCGGGAGGCCATGGTCAGTCCCAATCCCTTCCCCAGGCCCCAGCACCTGGGCCCCTATTTTCAGGGTGGTGGGGACCATGAGGGATTACTGAGAAACCCTCTGTGGGGGATACGGTTATTGATACCATGCGGTCATCCTTGCTGCCAGGCGGCCGTTTCTATGGTTCATCCCAAAGTACCTGGGATTTGGGCAAGGTCTCCCCATCCCCGGGGGCTGTAGCCAAGCCAAGGCCTGTGGTTGGGAAAGAATTAAAATTATGTGCCCACCTCTGCTCAGGGCTCCCACTGGGGTTGCACCTGGTCAGTGGCCCCAGTGAGCTACACCTCTGGCTCGGGAGGCCTGACTCAATCCCTGCTCTCAGCACAGGAGGCATTTGGAGTTACCACCGAGTTGCAAGGCCCCACCTGGTTTTCCAGGGCGGCTTCTGAATCCCTTTCACCAACCAAGTTGAGATTTCACAAAATGGTTGGGGATCGTGAGCCCAAGGGCCAGTGCATCAGATGACGTTCTCCAGATCCCAGGGGAAGGTGTCTGCCCCACGTCTCAACTTCACACCTGTCTGCAGATGCCAGGACACAGTCCCAGGGTGGAAAAAGAAAAATTTCGAGGGAGTTACTGGCAGTTTTAACTTCGCATCATTAATAACCACTACCATTGACTGATAGCATCTGCTGTGGATTGTCAGGCATCAGGCTCGTGCTTTATAGACACAGTCCTGTCAGATCCTCAGAAGGAAACCAAAGCTCAGGTAGAGACACAAATTCATGTAAAAAGAAGAAAAAAGAGTTGGCTGTCACCCAGTAAACACACAGGTCAGAGGCCCGGGCACAGTGGCTCACGCTTGCAATCTCAGCACTTTGGGAGGCCCGGCGGGCTTATTATGGGTCAGGAGATCGAGACCATCCTGGCTAACACGGTGAAACCCCATCTTTACTAAAAATACAAAAAAATTAGCCGGGCGTGGTGGCGGTGCCTGTAGTCCCAGCTACTCAGGAGGCTGAGGCAGGAGAATGGGTGTAGACCCAAGGCGGAGCTGGCAGTGAGCCGAATCACACCACTGCATTCCCAGCCTGGGTGACAGAGCAAGACTCCATCTCAAAAAAACAAAAACAAAAAAAACAAAAAAAAACAACCCACAGGTCAGAGACCAGCATGCAGGCCCTTCTAAGGGCCTGTCTTGGAGAAGCCATGCACGGGACCTGGCTGTGAGGTCTGGCTTTGTGCTGGCACACTGCTGATGCAGAGCTGGAGAGGTCTGCAGTTCCTGCTGATCCAGCTGACTGCCCCTCACCCTTACAGGAGCACATGATGCATGAAGAGCACCTCGGCAGGTGGGGCCAGCTGGACTACTGGCGCCATTCCTGGCCCAGCTCCGCCGGAGAAACTAACACGCTGGCGGTCTTCCTCGGGATGAGTGCCTCAGCGACTTCAAGCTGTGACTCATCAACAAGGCCAACCTCATCCAGGCCCGCTTTGAGAAGGTACCTCCAGCGCCTTTGTTGGGGAAGGGATCTCAGCATCTGCATCCAGAAAATGGGCCAGGCTGTCTGTCCACCCCACCTCCAGGCTTATGAGGGCCTGATGAGGGGGATGAATATGTCAACGCTTGGAGTTTCCAAATGACTGAGTTGTTCCTCCTCACACTTGTTTATCAGATAGATGAATGCATAGGGAGATGAATGGGTGTAGGTATGGATAGGTGGGTGGGTGGGTGGATGGATGGATGGATGGATGGATGGATGGATGGATGGATGGATGAATAGATGGGTGGGCCAATGAATGGATGGGTAGATAGATGGATGAATAGGTGATGGAATTAAGGTGGATTGATAGGTGGATAGATGGATGGATGAGTGAATGAATAGATGGGTGGGTGGATGGGTGGATAAATGGATGGATGGGTAGATGGATGGGAGGATGAATGGATGGGTGAGTAGATAGATAGGTGTATGGGTATATGTATGGATAGATAGATGGATGGATGGGTGGGTGGATGAGTGAGTGGGTAGATGGATGAATGGTTGGATGGGTGGATGGATGAATGGATAGTGAGTGAGTGGGTGGATGGATGGATGGGTGGATCAGTGAGTGAGTGAGTGGGCAGATGGATGAGTGGGTGAGTGGATGGATGAGTGGGCAGGTGGATGGATGAATGGATGGATGGGTGGATAGATGGATGGATGATTGGGGGGGATGAGTGAGTGGGTGGGTGAATGGATGAGTGGGTGGGTAGATGGATGGATGGATGGATGGGTGAGTGGGTGGATGGATGAGTGGGTGGAGTGGGTGAGTGGTGGGTGGATGGATGGATGGATGGATGGATGGATGGATGGATGGATAGATGAGTGAGTGAGTAGATAGTGAAGTGAGAGGGTAGGTGGATAGATGGATAGTAGATGAGTGGATGGTAGTGAGTGGGTGGTGGATGGATGAGTGGAGTGAGTGGATGGGTAAGGTGAATGAATGAATAGATGGTGGTGAGTGTGTGTGTGGATGGATGAGGTGGATGGAGTGAGTGGGTGGGTGAGTGGGTGGATGGATGGATGGATGGATGAGTGAGTGGGTAGATGGGTGGGTAGATGGATGGATGGATGGTTGGTGAGTGTGTGTGGATGGATGAGTAGGTGGATGGGTGAGTGGGTGGGTGGGTGGGTGGATGGATGGATGGATGAGTGAGTGGGTAGATGGGTGAGTGGGTGGATGGATGGATGGATGAATGGATGGGTGGGTGGATGGATGGATGAATGGATGGATGGGTGGGTGGATGGATGGATGAATGGATGGATGGGTGGATGGATGGATAAATGGATGGGTGGATGAGTGAGTGAGTGGGTGGGTGGATGGATGAGTGGGTGGGTGGATGGGTGGGTGGATGGATGGATGGATGGATGGATGGATGGATGGATGAGTGAGTGGGTAGATGGGTGGGTGGGTGGATGGATGGATGAATGGATGGGTGGGTGGATGGATGAATGGATGGATGGGTAGATGGATGGATGAATGGATGGGTGGATGGGTGAGTGAGTGGGTGGGTGGATGGATGAGTGGATGGATGGATGGGGCGAGAGTGGATAGATGGGCAGTTGGATGGATGAGTGGACGAGACCAGACCGGACGGATGGATGGATGGATGGGCAGGGATGAGTGGAGGATGGGCAAGAGAATAGATGGGCAGATGGCTGGGTAGACAGAGAGATGCATTATAACAACTCCTAGTCCTTGACCCATTTTGTTGGTCAGGCACACACCATGTAGTTCCATGCACTACTAAGACTATGTCACTTAATCTTCACAGAGCTCTACAAGGGGAGGGTAGTACAATGACCCTCATTTTGTAGACAAAGTACAGGTTCTGAAAATGCCAATGCTGTCCAGAGCTACATGGCTCTCTCAGTCTTGACCCCTGCTCTGACCTCATAGACATGACATCCCTATAAACAGCAGCCTCACTGGCTCCCACCCAAGATATTTTGTGGTCCCTGCCTCTGTGGCAGCTATGGATAGGTGGCTTGTGTGGGTGGGGATAGTGGGGCCAACTGTCATGGGGCTGTCTAGTGACCAATGGGATTGCAGCCTGCAGCCTGGGTGAAGGTCAGCCTTGTGGCCGCCCCCTTCTCTGTCCTCCCTACTGTCCCCAGGAGACCCAGGAGCTGCAAAAGAAGCAGCAGTGGTACCAGGAGAACCAGGTGGCTGACACCTGAGAGATGAAGACCTGTACCTGATTGCACTCTCAAACCATGTTCCCGCATTCGCATCCTGGAGCAGCGCCTCAATCGGTGAGCAGGCAGGGCAGGCAGAGAGAGCCCAGTGGGAGGCTGGACTGCCAGCTTTGTTACCCCTGCCCTCTTTTCTGCCCCTCTGACTTCAGACACAAGGGCAGCCCCACTGGAAGTACCTGACTCTGGAGGAAAAGCTCTGCAAGGACCCACGCCTGGGGAGCTCCAGAAAATATTAAGCAATGTCTCTCCTGGGGCCCTCAGCCAGAACCGCTGCCAGAGAAAGGAAACCTCTTCCCTGGAGCCTGGCTCCTGTGTTCCCTCTACCCAAGCTAATGCCTGTTTACACAGACACCTGGCCTCACTGCCAGCCCACCTTTCCTACAGCCCTGTTTGTTCCTGCTTCTCTTGGTTTTCCTGTAAATAGACACACTCTTAATTGGCCATTTGTGCCTCGCACTTCACAAGCTCCAGCAGCAGGCTTTCTCTTCTTCCGTTATCTATAGCCTGGGACCACCTGCTTCCTCCCCTTGGCCTATCATTTTACTTCCTGTCCTTCTCTCCATTGGAATGTCAGGTCTTCACAGCACCTCTGCAGATGGTCCTGCAGCCATCTGCAAACAACTGGTTAGATCTCAGTGTGACTAGGGTGGCCCACCTCACACCAGGTAGGATGGGGAAACTAAGATGCATGCCCCAGGATTTGAGGGCTGAATCCCAGATCCTCTTCTTACCAGATACCACTTACCAATCTGTAGAATGGGGTAGCATTGTTGCATTAAATAAGACTTATGGCCAGGTGTGGGGCTCACACCTGTAATCCCAACATTTAGGGAGGCTGAGGCAGGAGGATCGCTTGAGCCCGGGAGTTTGAGACCAGCCTGGGCAACATAGTAAGAAAGACCCCATCTCTTAAAAAAAAGAGCCAGGCATGGTGGCATGAGTCTGTAGTCCCAGCTACTCAGGAGGGTGAGGTAGGAAGATCACTTTCACCTACGAAGTCAAGGCTGCAGTGAGCCATGATTGCACACTGCACTTCCAGCCTGACATGGTCAAAATCCTGTCTCAAAAAAAAAAGAAAAAGAAAGACATAAAACAGGGAGGCTGGGAATGGCATATAGAAAGCAGTCATTAAATATTAGCTTAAAAATAGCCAAAATACACTTGAAATGGTTGTCAAATTCATGAGTCATCAGGAAATGAAATGTCACAACACCCTCCGGTGTGAAAAAAATAAAAAGTACTGGTGATAATGAGAAACAACTGGAACTCCCAAATAACCTTCGTAGTGAAAGTATAAATCAGTACAACCATTTTGGAAAACTACTTGGCATTATCTATTAAAAGCTAAACTAAAAATAACAATTCTGCCCTTAGATTCTACTCCAATCCAGCATTCATCAAGTAAGAATGATAGACAACTCAACAGAAATGTAGATAGATAGCTATCTGCCTAAAGGCATGTGCTAGAATGTTCATAGCAGCATTATTGATAATAGCACCATACTTGGAAGTTGCCAAATGTCCATCAAGAGCAAGAATGGATACATAAATTGTGGTCAACTTCAGATATTTTCAGGTTGTGTTGCTCTTAGGAAGAATGCTACTGACATCTAGTGCATACAGGCCAGAGTGCTACTAAACATTCTACCAATGCAGAACAGCTCCCCACAGCAAATAATGATCTAGCTCCAAATGCCAATAATATTGAGGTTATAGAGTGTATTAGTCTGTTTTCACACTGCTGGTAAAGACATACTCAAGACTGGGTAATTTGTAAAGAAAAAGAGGTTTAATGGACTCACAGTTCCGCATGGCTGGGGAGCCCCTCACAATCCTTAGCAGAAGGGCGAAGGCACTTCTTTACATGGTGGCAGATGAGAGAAACGAGAACCAAGCTAAAGGAAAATCCCTTATAAAATTATCAGATCATAGAGACTAATTCACTACCACGAGAACAGTACACAGGAAACCGCTTCCATGATTCAATTATCTTCCTGGGTTCCTCCCATATGTGGGAATTATAGACACAAATTAACTAAGATGAGATTTGGGTGGGGACACAGCCAAACCGTATCTATAGAGCAATGAGAAAATGAATGAACTTGCAACACAACTATATGGAATGATATGGTCCAACTGCCTAAGTATAATGTCAAAAGATTCAAGACACAAAAGTACATACTGAATGATTCCATTTATGTAAAGAACAAAAATAAACAAAAATTAATTGGTGATATTAGAAGTCAGGGTAACCATCACTCTTGGAGTGTGAGGGTTAGTGAATAGATGTGAGCATGGGAGCCCTGGGAGGGATTCTGGTTTTCTGGTCATGTTCTGCTTTTTGACCTGGATGTGTTCAGTTTGTAAAAATTCATCAACCTTGTACCTTACAATGTTCCTCTGGAGTGTTTTTAAGTGCTTGTTGTCATGTGAATCTAATCAGCCTTTAGCCCTAACTTAGAAATTCAAAGGGGAAGAAATGCATTTAGAAGAACTTTATCGAACAAGAACTTCAGAAATTCAGGTAAATGACACTAAAAGGAAACATTCTAACGTGGGACAATCTACTAGGTGTGTACAATCCTGCAAAGATCGATGTCATACAAATAAAGTTAGGGACAATGGAAATAACCAAAAAGGAGTCAAATTAATGCTGAATACTGATTGGTTCCTAGTTAGAACAAAAAGTCATAAAAAGGTTTTGAGGATGACTGGGGACATGTGAAAATGGACTGGTTGTTGAGTGGTGTGATGGTGATACAATGGTTATGTAGAATAAAAGGTCATTATTTTTATTTTATTTTTTGGGCGGAGTCTCGCTCTGTCGCCTAGACTGGAGTGCAGTGGCAGGATCTCAGCTCACTACAAGGCCTGCCTCCTGGGTTCACACCATTCTCCTGACTCAGCCTCCCGAGTAGCTGGGACTACAGGCGCCTGCCACCACGCCCGGCTAATTTTTTGTATTTTTAGTAGAGACAGGGTTTCACAGTGTTAGCCAGAATGGTCTTGATCTCTTGACCACCGTGGTTGCCACCTCGGGCTCCCAAAGTGCTGGGATTACAGGCGTGAGCCACGCGCCCGACCTTTATTTTATTTTGAAATGGATCTCAGTCTGTTGCCCAGGCTGGAGTACAGTGGCCCCATCTCGGCTCACTGCAACCTCTATTCCCAGGTTCAAGTGATTTCCTGGTCAGCAACCGCCACCAGCCAGAGCCTTATTTTTAGAGCTACATGCTCAGTATTTGGTGTTGGGTGAAAATGTAGTATCTACAATTTTCAAGTGGTTCAGAAAAAGAACACACAGACAAAGCAAATATGGCAAACTGTGCTAAGTGCCGAATCTACGTGAAGTATCATGATACCAGCTGTTTTCAAGTTTTCTCTGTTAGTTTTGCCTTTAAAAGTTAAAGAAGACTAGACTAGACAGTTTTGATCCGATGTTATTCCCTAAATCACCCAAGGTGCCTTGTGGTGACTCACACCTGTAATCCCAGCACTTTGGGAGGCTGAGGCGGGTGTATCACCTAAGGTCAGGAGTTCAAGACCAGCCTGGCCAACATGGAGAAACCCCGTCTCTACTAAAAATACAAAAACTAGCCTTAGCCAGGCATAGTGGTGGGCGCCTGTGGTTCCCAGAGGTCTGGAGGCTGGACCAGGAGAATCGTTTGAACCCAGAAGGCAGGTGGGGACTCCCCACGCGCTTCAGCTTTCAGAACAAGGGTTCGAATTCTGGGGCTATTACTTTCTGACCGTGTGGTTTTTTGCAAGCATCTTAACCCGGAACTCAGTTTCCTCATCTGTAAATGGGAACAGGAATTCCCTACCCCTTAGGGTTGTAGTAGGCGTTATGTGAACCAAAAAGGAGCCCCTGATCTGAGGTAGAGGCTGGAGGCCGAATGGCGGTTCGAGGCTCTGGGTGCCCAGGCCAACCTCTGTTGGCTGGAGAGCTGCAGGCCGGTCCTCCTAAGCGGCCCGCACTTGAGAGGCCCTGGGTCAAGGAAAGGGTGCATGGCGCTTCCTGGGCCACCGCCCAACGTGTCACAATAAGCCAGCCTTTCTCCGATTCCCGGTGCAGCCTCGGGCGGCGCCTTGCCCACGCATCCATTAGCCGAGGCGGTGGCTGCGTGGGCAATGCTCAGGGCTCAGCGCCTGCCTGGGCTCCGGAATCGAGCTGTTTCCTTCCTAGACCTTCCGTGGGGATTCATGCCGGCGTCCGGGTCAAAGAACAGGACAAAGTCCTCCTGCCACGGGGGTACCATCACCGCGAGCAAAGGAAGAATGAGGAGCTTCAGCGAAGGCCTACCTGGTTTTGCCCACTCTCAAGATGGAAGACCTGCGGCTTCACACCGCCCCAGAAGTCTCACTTCCCGGTGGCTATCTTGTATTGTTTTCCAATAATGCGACTCTGATTGGTCAATCCAGACGGTTATAAGTATTGGCACAGCCGCCGTTGGAGGCGGCTCTCAAAAGTTTTTCAGACACAAATTAGGTTCAGAAAGCAGAGAAAAGGGGAAACTTGAGACAGAGCAGGACTAAGGAAAGGCAGCTTGCATTGGCTTATCAGAGCCAAGGGGAGCGGCTCTTGAACTTAACTCCTTCCTCTTGATTAGCCCGATTGCAGGAAAAGAGGGCGGGTACTTAGGAAAAAGCAGCAGAAGCGCCTGCTTCCATTGGTCAGTCCTGGCAGGAGGCAGGCGCCTGCGGCATGGATTGGTGCAGGCAGAGTGACAGACTCTGAGCCGGAGGTTTTGTTGTGAGGAGTCAGTTGTCAAGCAGCGGCCAATCAGGAGCGGGAGATGGAGGCAAGTGGGGTCGCGCGCCTGGAGCAGGCCTCGGCCTCCGGAGCCTGTGCAGGTGGAGTGGGCAACAGGACGAGGTGGCGAGGGACGGTGGGCCCTGGGCTGGGCCGAGCCAGGCCCGGGACTGGCCAGGCTTGCCGGGCAGAGAGCTCTGGGCGTGGGAGGCTAGAGCCCATACTCCGCAAACAGA